GGTCTTAGTTAGGTTCGCCGGCCATGAATTGGGCGGCAGTTGAAGGCAACACCTCCCCCTAAGTTTTTAGTCAATTTGTGAGGCAAACCTCCTGTTATTTGCATACCGAGTCAACAACCGCCCGTTTTCTTGTCGAAAATTTGTGCTAGCGACGACTATGTACTCAGCAAATCTGAGACATCAGTCACCATTGTCGTATTCATTGAAAATAGCGAAATTACAAAATAGAGTAAGAGATAATCGGGTCGCTTTACTAGTACGCATATTGTAAACTCCTTCGGGAACTTCCATGAAGTTGGAAAGAAAAGAGTGTAATAGTGGTGCCCCCCTGAGTTTGTAGTAGTTAACGGGCTGGATTTCCCGGAAAGGGTACTGTGAGGGATGGCGTCTTTTGGCCGTCCATATAACCGTAAATAGCGCATTTTGGTATAATTATTCTTCGAAAAACTGTTTGAGAAGGCGCTTGTTCGAAAAGTATTCCAGTTTGTGAGGGACGTATTCTCGGGTGTATTTACAGAGTAAATTGACTAAGTAGGGCCCAACAGGCATTGAAATAGTTCTGCGTGGCTTTAAATTAGTAACTGTGATCATGTATCTAGCAAATGAGATAAGATAATCTTCCCGACTCATTTCTCTACACCACAAATTTGTGGTCTATCTTTGCCTTAAGGCAAAGATAGACAGTCTTTGCCAACGTTTTACATGTACATGATCGTCAGAGATAGCAGCAGCGAAAAGAGGATAATGAAAGGAGAGTACAGGTCAATTAAATATTAGTGACGTAAATTTGCAGCGAAAAAGTTCAAGAATCTCATATGATGTACTACTCATCGTACGATAGCGGAAAACGTTAAATCGTTTTTAAGGAGCGGCAGAAAACTTTCAAAGATTTTCTTAAAATTGTTCATAGTCCCTCAGTAAGGTAATCTGAAATGGATTTCTTACATACTACACCGCGTAAATTCCCTGAAAGTGTAGCGAGCCGAGGATGTCGAGGTCGGCACACACCTAAAGGAGTAATTCACGCATATGATTCTCCAGAAGTAACGCCTAACGGGGTTGTCAATCACCACAACATGCAATCGTAGAAAGAGATAGAAGAAT